CTCACTAAGTTGTCCAAGCTAGACTTGAACTCACTCTGTAGCTTAGACAGCCTTGAGCTTGCAATCCTCCTGCCCAAGTAGGTTCCCAAGTAGTTGTGGATGACAGGCCTGGACCACAAGGCCCTTTCAAAGTACGGGATAACTTACACAAGAACACACCCCATGCCAGCTCCCGGTGCCACTCTGCTTGTCCTTGGGGAGAACAACCGATCTTGCAGCAATGGCTTGGAGAGACTAAAACATTCTACCAAATGCTGGGACAAGACAGAATACCTGAGCCGGGCACCCTTTCTTCTCATCATCAGAAGCCTGTAGATGCCCAGGATGTTACCTCCAAGAATTGTCAACACAGATCTCCCCTGTGAGCCTGTGTGTATTAGCTCTTCCCCGGAATCATCTCCTCTTCCCCACTCTATAAAATCATATTTTTTGTTGTTGTTTTGTGCCCTCTCTGCTCCAACGACATGGTAGATTAGGATACTTATCACTTGGGGCACCTGTGCCTACAGGATGGTCTAGATTCATTGGGTTGGGGGTGGGTAGGTGTATGGTACTGGCAGCTTGTGTCTTTCCTTCCAAAAATGCTCTCAGACGTGTCCTCAAAGATCCCAACAGAGGAGTAGGTCACATAAGGTGAGGCTACTAAGAAAACAAAGCATCTTCCTCAAACCACCAGACCCAGTTGACTCAGAAGCCACAGCTGGGCCCCCACCCCACACCCCCACTCCTGTTGCTCCAGATACCAGCAATGCTGGCAGACCAGTATTGAGAGTGGGAAAGTTGTGCAACTGTGCCACAGCGACAGCAGAAGCAGAGCTCACACCCTGTGAGGGGTACAGGAGACTGTGCCCAAAGCCCGCTGCTATCTAGTACACTCCAGCAAAGGGATCGGTGCCAGCACAAACCCACCGAGGCTACCATCGTCCATCCCAAACTCCCAGAGGCTGTCACTTTCCACCAGTGCCACAGGGAACAGCCTACTCCTCCACCATCTGCCCCCAGGGGCTTCTATGTTCCCACTGGAGGACACTACTGTATGCACATCTGGAAACTTGACCATCAATACTAGTCCCCGTCTGTCCCCTGCCCCCTGCCCCCTGCCCCCCACCCCCCCGAACCTTCATGTATGCCTCTTCCATCAGGTGAACTGGTTACCAGTGGGATCCACCCTGAGCCCTAGGGTCTCTTTATCTCTGCCTCTGGTTTCCCACTTAGACTCAATTCCACAACAACACACATGGCTCCAGCTCATCCTCAAGGGGGGGGGGGGTTGCCTTGAGAGATCTGCAGTTCCTCTCCTGGGCTCTTTCAGTGTCCCGTAGATAGACAACTTACTAAATCTCTCTTAACCAGAATGAGTTAGAATCCTCACAATCGTGGGAGTTTGTGGGCTTGAAAAGTCAATCCAGTAGACCCAGAGGAAAGGAATGTTGACATGGTACCCTGTCTGTTATGATGCCTGCAGAGCCTGGGAGGTGTGGAAGAATAGCAAAGCAGTGAGGCCAAGTTAGGGCACCCTGGGAAAGGTCATGGAGACCAGACCCAGCAGAGAGCCTTGAATTCCATGCAAAAGAATATAGTTGGAGGGGAATTGCTGTACTTATGTTTCTTACTCATTTGTCTTTCCAGCAGAGAGTGCTCCGAAAGCACTTGAGGAAGACAAATTGTGAGTCAGAGCAGCCCTTGGCTCTCCACAAACCTTGCACCAGCCTCTCGTGAGATCACATTTCCCTGCTTTGGGCCAAACTCATTAAAGCAGCTGGCATCGAGTGAAAGATTATCAGGGCCAAGGGCTGGGGAGGGAGGACATCTCGGATGGTATATGGGGTCATGCTGGGGTTTTGTGCCACTTCCGACACACGAGGTCTCCTCCTGGTAGAGCAAGGACATGAGGCAGAGATAGGCGGTGGTTTACGTTAAGAAGTAGGATGAGGATTGGGGTGCCATCCTACCTAAGCCCTTGCATGCTATGGCTACAGGCTGGTTAGCTTCCAGCAATGGGATGTCCCCTTGGCTGGGATCTCTGTCTGAATCATGTCCCCGGTGGCTCCCACTTCGCAGGCTGTGAAGCGCCTATCTCCTGGATGTCTCAACCTGCCTTAACCTGCCTCCTGGAATAGAGTAGGCAGATGATTCTCAACTGAAGCACGGCTGTGTAGAATGTCTGACAAGACCTCTGGAGCACTCTGTTGACCTCAGCATGGCTTCCCCTTCCCCACCTCAGCTGGACTTTCCTACAACACACACATGTAGCAGAGCCCTCCCTGAGGTCTTGAGGTGGGAGACTGAAACTTTGCATTCTAAGATTATTAGTTATCCCTTCCCCTTCCCCTAAGGCAGGGTAAGTATCATCCCTCCCAAGAATGCTTCCTGACCCCAAGCTGTGCTAGATACCCCTTCTCTGTGCATCGCCTCCACCACCGTGGCTTCCCTCAGTCAAAGCAGTTGAGAGGGTCAAATGGAAGAGCCAGGTGTTCCCAAACACGCACACACTCGTTCTAAAGCAGACCTCATTCACCTGGGTGCCTAAGCCTGGGAACAGCAGGAGGTCAGTAAAGTTCAGGTAACCAAGTACTGGTGGTCCAGGGAGGAAAGCCAAGCTATAAAGGAAGAGATGATGTCAGCCAAAGCTTAGATGGGAGAGAGAGAGGGTGCTAATCGGGAGTTGGTGGTCTTCAAACTTGTCTGTGCATCAGATCACATGGGAACTCAAGACAAACCTGCTGAACAGCCATCTCAGCCTTTGGTTCAGCAGGTCTGCGCTGGGGACCACGGACTGGCATCTCAGCCTTTGGTTCAGCAGGTCTACACTGGGGACCACAGACTGGCATCTCAGCCTTTGTTTCAGCAGGTCTACACTGGGACCACAAACTGGCATCTCAGCCTTTGGTTCAGCAGGTCTGCTCTGGGGACCACAGACTGGCATCTCAGCCTTTGGTTCAGCAGGTCTGTGCTGGGGACCACAAACTGGCATCTCAGCCTTTGGTTCAGCAGGTCTGCACTGGGGACCACAGACTGGCAGCTCAGCCTTTGGTTCAGCAGGTCTGCACTGGGGACCACAGACTGGCATCTCAGCCTTTGGTTCAGCAGGTCTGTGCTGGGGACCACAGACTGGCATCTCAGCCTTTGGTTCAGCAGGTCTGCACTGGGGGCCACAGACTGGCATCTCAGCCTTTGGTTCAGCAGGTCTACACTGGGACCATGGACTGGCATCTCATTCTTTGGTTCAGCAGGTCTGCACTGGGGACCACAGACTGGCATCTCAGCCTTTGGTTCAGCAGGTCTGCTCTGGGGACCACAGACTGGCGTTTCAGCCTTTGGTTCAGCAGGTCTGCACTGGGGACCACAGACTGGCGTTTCAGCAGGTGCCAGGATATGCTCTTCTGGCTTTGAAGCCTGGTCCAGGGTGGAGGATGCTATTTGCAGGCACTCAGAAGCTTCATTCGCTCCTCACTTGGACCTACAGGGAGTCTAAAATGGGGTGAAAGCCTGGCATCTCTGCCTCCCTCTTGTGCTTCCTCTGCTTTGGGGCAGTTGCACACCTTTGCATATGGAGAAATTGATCACCCAGAAGACTGCCATCTAGAACCAGGGCTACCTAGCCTACCTCTCCCCACTCCCAGATTGAAGGCGCAGAGATATGCGAAACAGCATCTCACTGGCAGCTTTTTAAGGCGTCCCGTTCAGATCCCAAGAGGTGACTGACGGCTGTCGGCAAGTGAATTCCGGGATCTAGCAGGACAGACAACCCCAAAAGAGAGTGCTCATCCAAGAAGTGAGGTGGCACTCAGGGCAGGATAGCATCTTCTAAGAACCATCTTCACTTAATAAAGACTTGTGTGGACCATTCACCAAGACCAGAGCTCAGACAATGATGGGGAGAACCATGTTTCCACCAAAACTGCAAAATTAATGCATATCCCTTTGTCCCCTTGTCCCTCTAAAGCTCATGCAGGTACCCCAGAGATAGGACCTGGAAGTCACTAGACCCCCTTTATCTGTCCCATCCAGCACGGCCACGTTGATTACATCTCTGCTCTTCCTTACCTGGGTCTCTTTAATTGGCATATTGGGATGGGTGGCAGAGCCTAGCCTGCCAGAACCACCTAAAGCTCCACTTGCAGTGGTAAAGGCAAGAGTTCAGAAGAGGAGAAAGGAAGACTGCAGAGGCTGGGCCACACAGGGTGTTACACCCTGAGGCGGAGGAGTCAGCCATGATGCTGAAGAACCCGCAGATGAGATGAAGGAGAGCAGCAAAACTTTACACCCACCGTTTGGGAGGCAGAAGCATCCACAGTCATAGGCTTGAGCCCCCTCCCCACTATGTGACCTCAATCAGTTCCTCCCAGGAGGCCACAATCCTCACCCCCCCCCCCACCACCACCACCTCAAAGGCACAATCCAGCCCTCTTGGAGAGGCAGGTGTGCCTGCAGGGAGACCGGCCCTGAGAGGGCTTTGCGGCGGCGGGTAGAGGCCCTCAGCAGATGTGAGAGCGATTATTATAATCTCTCCGCCCCCAGATGGCATGGTCCGGGTTGCCCCCTCCTCCGCCTGCCAGGCCCCTCTCCGCGGTCCCCGGGGACAGGATGCTAAGGGCCCCAGCCTGCGAGCTGCCTGCCTCCTCTCCTCGGGGGCCCTTGGCCCAGCCTCAGCGTGGGCCTGGCCTCCAGCTTGAGCGGCCTTTCTTCAGGTGCAAGAACCCAAGTGGCTGTCAGCGGGCGGCTCCACGGCAGGGCACCTCAGGCAGGCGGAGGCGGTGGCGGGGGTGGCTCAGCACAGCTAGTGAACAAAGGCCGGCTGGGAGCTGGCAGGGCGCCATCAGGGTTCAATGCACAATGGCCCGAGGGGCTGGCGGCTTCGCTCCTGGCCGGCATTTGCATAGCGTCTGGGGCAGGAACAGGTGCCCGGTCAATAGGCGATTGTGAAGCTGCTGTGTCAAAAAAAAGAAGAGGCCTGTATTGAAGGCCAGGCTGGCCTATTGCAATGCAAATAGCATTCAAAGCAGACCAGCTCGGGATGGGCTCCCCGGAGCCCCTGCCTCATGAAAGCCACCGAGCCAGCCCGGCGGCTGCTGCTGCTGGTGCCCGCTTTGTCTGAGGCCAAAGGGTGGCACTGGCAATGGGGGCGGGGCGCCCACAGCAAGGGGTTGTTCCCCAAGCCTAGCCATCTAGGAAGGCTTCCTGGAAGAGGAGCAACGGAGCTAGGATGTTGCTGAACTGCAGCCAGATGCTGGAAGGAAGAAGCTACACGCTTCCCTGAAGAGGACCCAAAGTGAAACAGCCACTGTGAGTGCCACTTTGAAACCTCCGAGGACAGTGTAACACACCTCCTCAATTGTGGATGCATGGCCCTCTGGCCCGAAATTCGGGATCCTTCGTGTTACCTCTAATTTGCTGTGCCCTGGTCTTACCTGAAGCTACTCTGGGTTTATCCAGGTGATTAATTCTTCCACACCTGAAGCAGTTCTGCGAGATGACTGTGTATCGTTTTCATTTAACTGATGTGGAAACTGAGGTACAGAGGGGTTGTACCACTCCTGGGTGGCAATGCTGGGAAAGACCCTCGGCAGGCTGGTTCTAGAAGCTTCCCCGATTCCACACTATGCCAATGCTCTGCCACCAAGCCACACTCTTATCTCAAGATGGAACTGAAGTCCAGTGAGCCAGACGCTTATAGCAGCAAGACCAGAATCCTGTGAACTGGCTGCCTGCCTGACTCATACCTCTTCAGCTGATGGTAAGCCTGCTGGAGAGCACTGCCATCTGACCCAGGGACGGATGCTGGGGTGGTGACAGGCTTGACAGAACTGAGTATTTGTCTCCCAACATGGAGTCTTTATAGAAATACTCCAAACTGCAGGGGGGGAGGGCTGCTCAAGAAAGCAGAAACCCCAGAGTCTATACTTTATCACCAGGGCTTGACTTTATCACCAACCGATCTCCATGGCCTGGGACCACTGACCCCTGCCTGACCTTGTACTCTCAAGTCTGCCCATCTGTAAAATGGAAGCCTGAGCTAATTCCAGGGGTGCAAGGAAGCCATGAGGATGGCTGTTCAGAAATCAGAGCCTCAGAGACCTTCAGCTCCACCCGGTTTCATGTTGAGATGAAAAGAGTCTACACATGCCTGTGGACCTGATTCATGAAGTCACCCTCACATTCCGGGGAACTGCTTTCAGGCTTTTAATCCGTTGAAGGTATCTGGAACTCCCCCGTGGAAGACTGGGTCTGCCACCCTAGGCTTAAGATGCTTGGCCCGGATAAAAGGAAACTGCCCGTGGCACTAGGTCGGATTCGGAGGGGACTCTCCGTGCGCCTCCGCCTCCGCAGCCTCTGGCCTTGGCATCTCCGCAGCAGGAGCTGGGAAACTTAGGTCTCACAGGTCCACCACCACACAGGGATAATCAGCAGGGCCTGTCTAGACTGTGTTGAGGACTCCGAAGCAGCCTGCAGGCATGGCAGGGAGGGCTGCTGCCATCCCCAGGGACGTCACTGGATGGAGTAGAAGCAGTATAGCTGGCAGGTATTTGTCGTCTGGATTTACTGGCTGTGAAGGGACGGAGGGAACCAAAGACACAAGAAAAAAATGGACTCCTTAAGATCTCTTGGTGACAATATCAAAGTTACAACTACCAATCACACTGTTTTTTTTATTTATTTTGGTGGATGGGAGGGGTGGTGCATATACACGTGGGAGCCAGAGGACAACCTCCCTGGCTTGCTCTTAGGGTACCATCCGCCTTTCCATTGAGAAGGGTCTCTCACTGGTCTGGAGCGAGCTGGCTGAGCAAGAAGCCAGCAGCCCACCTGTGTCCCCCCCACCCCACCCCCGTGCCATTACCCTCTGTGCCACGTGAAATTTCCACGTAGGTTCTGGGGATCAGACTCTGGTCCTAGGGCATGCACTTTCTGACTTAGCCAATGCCCAGCCCCTTTTCATGGAAACATTTTCTTGAGGGCATCCGTCACACTTAAACCTGTGTTGCTTTTAGAACCAGAGCGACAGTTAAGATTGCAGAGCCTCATGTCAGAACAGTTGTTCAGTGTGGACAAGGGCCTGGGGTCTGATCCCCAACACTGCACATTTAATAAGGTGTTTCCAAAGTTGAAAAGTAAGAGTTGACCTTACTGTTTCCCTGAGAAAGGAGGCCCAGGGTTTAGGGGCGGAGTTGAGCATTGAAGGCAGTGTTAATTGAGGGCGGCTGCTCTTGTCAGTGTCGTGGCACACATGTGCTTGATACCCTACAGCTTCACTTCCACTCAGCCAGCTAATCCTCCCCAAATGCCGTGGGCATAGAAATCATACACATTATGTGCTCTCATTTGCATGTGAAAGAAAAGTAAGACTCAGAAAGTTCACACATGATTTACCCAAAGTTATGAAGTCAGGAGGGAGCTTAGAGGAACCCTGAAGACCTTCCTCCCCTAGATAAGGAAAGCTAGGAGGACATTTGGGGGTGTAGCTAGCCTGGGAGTGAGTTCTGCTATATCTGGACCCAGCCAGCATCGTCCACAGAACTCCATGCAATAGAAATACTGGGCCTTCTCCAGAAGGAGACAGGGTGGCCTCGGGTTCCCAAGCCCAACTCCCTTGGCTGACTTCAGCAGCTCCCTGTAACACAATGCACCCTTCTTCTCCTGGCACACCCGCTCCAGCTCTTAATTAAGCTAGCCAATGGTTATCCTTCACTGCTAAGGCCCGGGCTTCTGAGCTGCCCATTGTTCCACCCTGGCTACCAGAATCCCAGCCTCCAGTAGGTACCCATGATGCTCCAGGGCCCAGCATCGAAAGGCCCAACACTCGATCACAAAGGGCACAAATCCCTATAACATCACAGAGACAGCTATTATTAAGCGTTTCTTTTTATTAGTGCCCATAAAAGAAATCACAAGGCATTTGAGGGTTTGTTTCATAGAAACCAAAAGTGTCCACGCTCACAGTAACAGAGAAAAAGCCGTGATAGAAAGATCTGGAGCCCAAGGCATGGGTGGGTCCCAGTAGAGACCTGGTTCCACTTCTGACAAACCAGGTAACTTTAGGTGAATTGTTGTCCCTTACCGGTTCAGAGTGGCAGTCACAGGAGAGGTATGTATGTGAAGAAATTCTGGGGGAAATGCAAACCAAATGACCAGGAAATTTAGAAAGCTGGGTGTAATTGGAGCCAAATGTGTCTCCCCTGACCCCATTGCGAGGAAGCTTCCTAACCCTGTCGCTGCCCATGAGAAGTTAGCCTCTGGCTTATGATGTCCTAAGAGAGAAAAAGCCAGTCCCAAGACCTTTGCAGCCTTTCTTCTTGTGCTGGAGATGACATTTGGGTAGCCGTGACCCTGGCCCCTCTGAAAGACAGGGAAGGAGTTCTCAATGGTGACGGAAGCTACTGAGACTTCCTCCCCATTGCATCCTTTGGCCAGAACTGGCTGTGTATCTGCTGTAGACAGGCACAGCACTTAGTCATCAGAACCAGGATTCCCTGCCTATGAACACCCATGGGGTCCATAGGGTCTGTAACAGAGAAGCGCTGACTTCAAAATTCAGGCTTGGACCAGAGAGACTACTCAGTGGGTAAAGGTGCTTGACACTGAACCTGACAACCTGAGTTCAGCCCACAGGGTCCACATTGTAAAAGGAGAGAACTGACTCCCACAAGGTTCCTGACCAAACACCACACACACACACACACACACACACACACACACACACACACACACACACACACACACACACACAAACAGAAAAGAACCCTGCCTTGCAGACACATAGACCTAAACTCGAATTTCAATCTTCACCTCTAAGGGGTCAAGCCAGATGCCTCTCTTCCTGAAGCCTCAGTTTCCCCATAGATTACAAAGTTCTAACTAGCTATTAGAACTACCAACAATGAAGTAACAGATGGTGGGCAAAGGCTGGGTAATAGAATCAGGGACCTTTGCACCCCCACACCACACTCCATGTAATCTGAAGGTGGTCCCTCCTAAAATACAGTCTGTCTGTGCCCTGCCCATGCTTAAAACCCCAGATGATCCCTGGCTGTCATAAAGTCCAAAATCTTTCACATGAAGAATCCATGCCCTGTTTTTCTCATTGGCCATCTTCTTCCCTAAAACACCACCAAACTATCTTCCAACCGGCTTCCTGCCCTGGGTCCCCCGATCCTGTCCCCAACTCCAAACATATGTCCCCTACATCTCTTCCTTCCACACAGTCCCTTCCTCCGTTCCTCGGTTCCCAGATCTCCTGACCTCTGTTCTTGAGTGTTCTTTTTTAAACAGGAATGATATAAATTTTTGAACAGGTAATGTGTTCAGACATTTCAAAACTCAAAAGAGAGGAAGTGGTGTAGAGCAGAAATCTCCCCCTGCTTACTTGTCTTGTCTCTGCTCCCCAGAGCAGCCTTTGTTCACATATCTTGGTCCTTCCAGAGGGAAATACATAAAGGCCAATAAACTGTGTGTGTGTTTGTGTGTGTGTTATAGTCACACATGTGTAATGACCATATCTCACTCCCTTGTATAACTCCACCATTTAGTTGATCCCCTGGGGATATATGCCCATGTAGGCTAGCCCCAGCCTTAGCTGATAAAGAAGACACTTTGCTGAATGATCATCTTCATAAACAGTCATCTTACACACATAGATGTGAGGTCAGTTTCTAAAGGTGTTTTTTTTAAGGCATACACAGGGAGCTGAGATCCTACCAGGCCACCCTCAGAGCAGCCTGACTAACTTGGTCCCTGAGTGTCTGGGGCAATGCATAACCCCCCAGAAACAACACATGCATCTGTGTCACTTTTACTAACGCAATCTTGGGCAACCAGGCAGGGGAGGGGACTCATGGCACCTTGGCACCGTTTCTACGGCAGCCGCCATCGTCCTGAGTGCTCAAGAGACTGCATTTGTGTGTAATTGGTGTTGGAGCTGTTTATAGCTCTTCCCTCCTGTGAGGTATTTGTTCCTAGCCTGGGCCCCATTCCTATTAGGCTGTTTATTCTTCTTAATGATTTGTAGGAGCTCTTTATTTACCAGGGAAATCAATCTTCCCCTATGACTGGAATTGCAAGTACTCTTGGTCCTTGCATGAAGGCTTCTTATAAAGAAGGCGACCTTTGAAGGAATTAGGCACCTCTCCTCTGCGCAAGATAATTATTGGATGGATGGATGGATGGATGGATGGATGGATGGATGGATGGATGGATGGATGGAGTATATCCTGCCCAGCTTCTCATTTAATCAGAGAGTCAAACTGGAAAACCTGTCCTCAGTGGAAAATCCTAGGCTGGGCAGCTGGGTGGGTTTAGCTGCCCAACCCAGCCTCTTCACCTCCCCCTATACGGTCCCTCTTCCCTGGAAGTACCTTGACACCAGCCAGGGTTCCATGGGGAACAAGAGCTGAGACGCAGCCCCATTACAGAATTTGTCTCTCCTGCTGGCCTGTCAGAAAGCCAGAATTTATGGCCTCATTCACTTTACACAAAGCCTATATCTGGAGACTTTTACGATGAACAAGTGTGGAAAGGGGTAATGTTAAGTAAGAACCATGGCAGGAGGCTGGAGCTGGAGTATATAATCTCACAGACGCCTTGGGAAAGAGGCTCGGGACCTTGCTGTGTTCTCGGGCAACAGTGCTCATGGAGGGTTATGTGTGCAGGGCTGAAGATGGGGCTTCATCTCACAGGGAAGAGAAGCTCCCCTGCACTGGAGCCACAAGTAACCCCTCCCCCATATTGAGCTTCTCTCTGTGGTGCCCAGCTGCTCAACTCTTCCTTGTCCCAGAGTCTCTCAGCACAGCTGCCATCCAGCTTCCCCCATGTGCCTTCAAGAAGTCCTCAGCTCCTGTTGCTTTGAGGGAAAGAGACAGCCTGGCAGTAGGAGACAGTGCCAAGTGAGCCATTCCTGCATGCCCAGTTCTGAGCTGGCACACCCACCTCATGTGATGGTTCCTCGAGGGCCCCGAGTACCAAACGGGGTCCGAGATAATCGGTACCCCATTTTAGAGAGCTGATGACAAGAACGACAAAAATGAGAAAGATGGCCCACTCACCCTGTCACAGCCAGCACTCCGACTCAGGCAGCTGTCAATCATCTCACCCATTGCTCCCGCTATGTCGGACATGGAAGACCTGGGCATGCTAGGGGTGGGTATTAATTCTAGAACGGGCTCCTCCCTCCGCACACAGGAGAGTCACCCCCAAAGGAGGCTCTAGGGTAGCTGGCGGGAAGCCAGGAGAGAGACAACGGGGACAGGAGCCTTTGAGACAGGAAGAATAATAAACCCAGCCGAGGCTGGAAAACAGAAAACGATCCTGAATGACATAGGAGGGGGTGGAGCTTTGACAGAGGCAGGCACGGGCAGGTGAGGGCAGGTGTGAGCAGGTGTGGGCAGGTATGAGCGGACATCCACAGGTGAGGGCAGGTGTGGGCATTTGAAGATGCAAGTAGGCCAGGCACAGGCAGGCACAGACACGTGTGAGTAACTGCCTGAGTTAAGGCAAGCATAGGCAGGACTGGATAAGCGGGAGCATGTGTAGGCACCCTGGGCAACAGGCAGCCCTCCCTCTCTCCCCTGGGTGAAGGTCTCTTCTCTTACGCCCCACTTACCCTCTCCCTGAAGGTGTCACTTTCTGTGCCTCCCCATCCC